AGTATTTTAACTAGAACTATTAAAAGAGCAAGAATATTAGTCAGTTGTGATGTGGTGGTACATCACTATCACACCAGCACATGGAATGGAAGGCAGAGAGAGGCAGGAGGATGGCTTCAAGTTCCAGGTCAGACTGGTCTACTTGGAAAGTTCACTTAGTGAATATGACAGTCACACTCCCTGCCCCCAAATATCAAAGAAGATTCACAATCTAAAATGCAAGGTTTCCCAGAATGCACATAACCAGCTATGCATTGGTGAGGCAAGGGTACAGGTCTGAATTTCCATTCCTATTGGATATGAAGTATGTGAGCACAAACTGGACCCAAGTCTCCTGAGCCACACACCCAAAGGTTTGCTCACCCAAGGAACATCTACTTGGCTACACCTGATTCTAGGTGAAAATCAGGCTGACCTTTTTGGTTTTTGAGATAAGGTCTCACCAGGCGTGGTGGCATATGCCTTTAATCCTAGCACTCGGGAGGCAAAGGCAGATGGATCTCTGTCAGTTCAAGGCCAGCCTGGTCTGCACAGTGAGTTCCAGGCCACCTGGGGACCCTGTCTCAAAATGACCAAAAAAAAAAAAAAAAAAAAGATAGGGAGATAGGGTCTCTTGGAACCCAAAGCTCACTATGTAGCTAAAGATTACCTTGAACCTGATTCTTCTACCTCCTTCTCCTAAGTGGTGGGATTATAGGCACGCACCACCATACCTGGCCAGGCTGTCCTTTTTAAACAGAAAAATAAGCTCACAGCAAGGATCCCAGGATTCTCCACATTTTCTTACTTTAAATGAACAAATCACCTTTGCGCCAAGTAAATAGCATTTTTTGGGGGGGGGTCGTTTTTGAGACAGGGTCTCCCTGTAGCCCCAGCTGTCCTGGAACTCACTATGTAGACCAGGCTGGCCTTGAACTCACAGAGATCCACCTGCCTCTGCCTCCCGAGTGCTAGGATTAAAGGCATGCACCACCACGCCCGGCCCACCAACAGCATTTTATGCTAGGGAAGCTTCTACACTGAAAAACAGAACTTGAGACAAAGACTGTGGGAATATTATGTCTTTACTTTCTACCTTTAACTTTTGTTTCTCAATTTACAGTATTTAATCTTAAAAGATAATACTTTGTCATTCAAACTGTTTTCATCATTTACTATCTTCATGGCCCAGTTATGTTCCAAGAATGGTAAGAGTCTCACCTTCGGCAAACACTGAGGACTAGGGCAACATTTAAACCACGTCATAAATTCAATGAAGAGATACAGGAAAGGGAAGTCACTGTGGCTGGGGCAAATAGGTACCCATTCTTGGCAAGGGTATGCCAGGAGAGGTGGGAAAAATGTGGTGGCATTCAGAAAACAAGACTACACTGAGAAAAGGCTCCACAGTGGACACAGATCAGGCCTGAGAATCTACTGAGGCTCAGACAGGTGCTTTCAAGTATGAAATGCTGTAGGGGCCTAGGTAGAGGATGGACTCTAGTCTAAGCACCTGTGTCTGAGGTAACAGTGGCACCTCCTGAAAAAGACATCCTGTAGCAGCCTGAACCAAGGCCCTGTCAGTACCCAGGAGGGAAGGCCTGAAGTGAACAAGTAAGCCCCACCTAGTAGACTGGAGGGTATCCTGATTATCCTTTTACTGTCACCTTGATACAACTTAAAATTATCTGAGAAAAGAATCTCAATTGAGGAACTTCCTAGACCAGGTTGGCCTATAGGCATGTCTGCTGGGGAGCTGTCTGGATTATTCATTCATGTAGGAGTGCTTATTCCAACTTGGGCAGCATCATTCCCCAGGCGGGTGGTCTTGAACTGTATAAGAAAGCCAGCTGCACAAGTCTGCCTGCCAGCCAGCCAGCATCTTCATGGTTCCTGCAGTGCTTCTTTGGCTGTGAAGTAAGAGGCATTGCTGTATGGAATAGCAAGCGGGCCTACCTTCAAGTTACTGCCTTGATGTCCCTCAGTGATGGACTGACCTGTGACCTGGAACTGTGAGCCGAATAAACCCTTTCCTCCCCTAAGTCACTTCTGATCAGTGTTATATCACTGCAACAGACATCAAACTACAACAGGGGGCTTGAATGCCAGGCTGTGTGTAGATTTGAAGTGCCACTCAATCTAAGGGACAAAGGAAGGACAAAAAATGAGGGTGAACAGAATTCAGACTGGCCCTCAGTGCACAGTCTCCAGCTGACACAGTGACTTCATCACGTAGGACCAGAAGATCCAAGAAGGCAGGAGCTTTTGTCACCACGTATCTACTGCACATGCAACAATGCCTGGCTCAGGGAAGGTGGTCGTACTCGAGTTAGTGAAGTGATAAGGACGAGACTCCAACTGTTCACTGAAACTGGCAATCAGAGGGCACTGAGGAGGGTTAGTGAGATGGCTCAGCAGGTAATCACACATCACCACACCTGACAACCCAGTTCAATCCCAGAACCCACACGGTAGAAAGAAAAGTCTCCTTTGTAAGTTGTCCTCTGATCTCCACCCAAGCTGTAAGACCTGTACACATATAGAATGACTACATATATAAAAATCCTATAAAGGCACTAATGCCTGAAGGGATACCTATGTGTAGGCCTCCTCTCATACTCCTGTTCTATCCAAGTCCACCTGAGTGGAGTACCAGTATCTTTTGGAAAACAGAAAATGTTTAGCTATGTATACCAGTTCACCTTTAAATAGAAGATAAAAGCCTGTCTTTTCAGGTGCATGCCTTTAGAGTCCCAACACTCAGAAGGCAGAGGCAGGCAAACTTCTGTGAGTTCAAGGCCAGTCTGGTCTACAGAGCAAGTTCCAGGCCAGCTGTGGCTACAGGGAGACCCCGTCTCAAAAAGACAAAAGAAAAAAAAAAATTCTTCAAGGCTCAGGGACTTTTGCGGAAGAGGTGGCATAAGAGCAGGCGGGGGGGGGGGAGTATTAACTGGAAATGTCCTCCGACCACTATGCTGGAAAGCTATGGTCACACCTCCATCCCACCGTTCATCAAGGAGTCAAGGGGGGAGTCAGTTACCCCTCCCACCCAGTCAGCCAGCCTTAGCTGCATGTGGGGGGAGGGGCAAAGGATATATTTATTGTTGCCTTTCTAGTGCCTTGAGTTGCCGTGTTAGGTCATTTATTTGGGCTCTTTCCTTTTTTTTTTTTTCAGAGCTGAGGACCGAACCCAGGGCCTTGCGCTTGTTAGGCAAGCGCTCTACCACTGAGCTAAATCCCCAACCCCTCTTTCCAATTTTTTAATGTGGGCACTTAGAGCTATAAACTTCCCTCCTAGGACTGCTTTTAATGTGTCCCAGAGGTTGTGTTATCCTTTTTGTTGAATTCCAGGAATTCTTTTCTATACACTTTCTCCTTTGACCCACTTTTGTTAAGGAGTGTGTTGTTCAGTCAACAGGAGTTCATGTGGTGACTAGGGCTTTGTCCAGTGTTGATTTTGAGCTTTACTGCTTTGTGGTCTGATAGAATGCATGGAATTATTTCAATATTTTTTTATTTGTTGAGGTTTGTTTTGTGGCCCAGCATGCAGTCATTCTTTGAAAAAGTTCCATGAAGTGCTGAGTAGAAAGTGTATTCTTTGGTGTTTGGGTGGAATAATCGAAAGATGTCTGTTAGGTCCATTTGATATATGGTATCATTTAATTCAGATGTCTGTTTATTCTTTGTCCAGATAACCTGTCTAATGGAGACAGTGGGGTACTGAAGTCCCCTAACGAGTTGGGGTTAATCTGTGTCTTTTAAGTCCTATAGTGTTGTTTTTATGAATTTGGGTGCACCAAAATTTGGTGCATATAAGTTAAGGATTGTAGTATCTTCTTGGTCAATTGTTCCTTTGATCAGAATGAAGTGACCTTCCTTATCTCTTCTGATTAGTTTTACTTTGAAGTCTATTTTGTCAGATATTAGAACTGCAACCCTGGCTTGTTTCTTAGTGCCATTTGCTTGAAATATTCTTTTCCATCCTTTTACCTTAAGATAGTGCCTGTCCTTGAAGGTGAAATGGGTTTCTTGCAGACAGCAAAGAGATGGATCTTGTTTAATCCATTTGCTTAGCCTGTGTCTTGACCGGGGAGTTCAGTCCATTGATATTTAAGGTTATTATTGAAAGGTGTATATTGGTTGCCATCATTTTGATTTGTGTTTCTGTTTGTGTTCTCTGTAATTTTGTGTTTCGTAGATTATATCTTTATTTTCTTTCGTTGCCTCTAGGGTATAGTTACAGGGAGGGGCAAAGGATATATAAGCCGAGAACACCAAGAGGCACCTCTCTCACCATTTTGTGCAGCTGTCCTGAGGTCACAGGGTCTGTATTTGAGTGTGGGCTTTACAATGCAGCCATAAATGGGGGGCACCCACTCTTCTGTAAATAAACCCCTATCCTATGCTCTACTAAAAATAAGTAATAAAAATACTTTTTAAAAAAAGACAAAAATTTTTTATTGCATTTATCATGGCTGTGTGTCGGCCTGCATGTGCCACTGCACATGTGGAGGTCAGAGGACAACTTGCAGAAGTCAGTTTTCTCCTTCCACCATGTGTGTCCTAGAGATCAAACTTAGATCAAAAGGTTTGGCAGTAAGTGCCTTTACCCACTGAGCTATCACTGGCCCCATTCTTTTAAAAAAATAACATATATCTATTGACTGTGTCTGTGTGTGCATGATGCATATGTAGGCGGGGACGTGCGAGTGTGCATCTGTGGAGGTCAGAGGAAAATTTGCAGGAGTTTGTTCTCCCCTTCACTATGTGAGTCCTGGGAATTGAACTTAGATCATTGGGCTTGGTGGTAAATGCCTTTACCTGCTGAGCCATCATCCCACAGACCCCCAAGCCTACTCATTCTGTTAGACACTCATGGGTAGGCTCTGTCCTGATGACATGCACGCTTTAAGGCCTTTCAGTAATATCCATGGTTTATAAGTCGTGGAAATTTGAGCACTAAAGTAATACTAGATTAAAGTTGGTCTTCTATGAGCAATGCCAAATGAAGAAATCACCCAATCATTTATCTGTTTTATGAATTTTCACATTTGCTTACAAGTGAGCACACCCTGATGCTCTTTACAGTTCTCATTCCCATCAACTGTTGTTGGCAGATCACCAACTACAATGTACAAGACAAAAGATCAGAACAAGACTTCCAGATGCCACGATTCAGAGCCCTCTAGTTTCTGAGGAGGAATCCCACCCAGACTGGCTGCTGGGACTTTACTGCCCTTCACTACCCATTTCAGCAGGGCTCAGGTTCCTTGTCCCACAGCACCCAGCCAAGCGGAACTTGTTGAGCATGCATGACACAGCTTACACGTGCAACAAACACCCACATCTCTTCTCAGTTCTCTCAGAGTGTCAGAACTTTATATACCTTCCTCAGTTCTCAACAGAAGACATTCCCTTCCAGGTTATCACCACAAACACATCCCTATGGACTCAACATTCCACAAGGCAAATGTATACATGTTATTTATTCAATGATCTTCCATGTTTAGTCACACAAGGCTCTCTTCATACCTATCTGCATCATGGTTCTCATCTTGGATTGTGAGGTCCACAGGGCTGGCCCGCTAACTATGATTTACAATGATTAACACAGAGTCACAGTGAAAGAGCTCCGAGATGCTTGTGAACAGAAAGGATGAGGATGAAGATGTGGGTCCTGAGAGGCTGCCAACCCACAGAACCCAAGGCCTAAGCAAGGACCCAGAGGGTCCATCTAAGGGAGATTCTAAGGCACTGTGGTGAAGGACATGATTGGCCTACCAAGTGTGGTCGCCTGGTCTTATGGCAGCCCCTCACCTGGAACCAGGCAACAAGCATTCCATTTAGAAGGTCTTTCTGAACACCTGCAAGCAGCATTCACTAATGAAAATGGAGACAAGGTCTTTCTTGGAAGAGAGTGCACACTTTCTGTCCCAAGACCAACCAGGTCCCTTCTAAGGTCCCTGAGAATAGCAGCCCGGGAGCAACTAAGACTTTCAAAGGCTGACAAGGCACAGATTGGATTAAAAAAAAAAAAAAAAAAAAAAAAAAAAAAAAAAAAAAAAAAAAAAACTACTTTGGCTTATAAAACCTCTAACCTGAGGCAGGGACCACAATGTCCACCATGCAGAACAGATATGAGTGCAGCAGAGATGATCTCAGAAATGTATCAGCATCTCCCACACTGCTCTCCCTCCCACAGCGTCCCAACAACAACAACAACAACAACAACACACACACACACACACATACACACACACACACACACACACACATACACACACACCCCTGCAGAATTGGTCAGAGGTTGACAGTCAAGGCCTGATGTCAGGAGAGAACTCTTGGCACTCTGAACTACATCACAATTAGTCCCAATCAGACAGTGAAGAGAATGCTGGCCTAAGCATCATCCAGGTTGAGAAATTAAGCTGTGCCCAGGACAGCCAGGTCTGGAAAGTCTTTCACTTCACCTACTTCGCTGAACGGCTGCCCACCCTGATTGAAGGTCAGCTTATACCGCAACCGGATAGGTTCCTAGGTCATAAGAGAGGATAACATGTTAAATTAGATGGGAAGACAGAGAAGTATTCCACAGTAAAGGCCTTCATCAAACCCAGGAATCTCTGGAGCTGCAAACACAAAGGTAGCCAGCCATGTATCCTGGGAGTCCTGCACACTTCTGCAGCCCCAATGGATAATTCAGAGACCCTCAGGAAGACAGGCTGCCTTCTCCAGAGGATTCTCGGTATCACAGATTACATGCCCCTCTCCCATGGTTCCCAGATGTGATAATCCATCACAAATCTTCTAACAAGCCCCAAAGAAAATGAGACCTGAGCAAGGGCTATTCCACCCCCCCAAAACCCCACTAGAATCACCCAGCCATTACAGCAAAGCCTCACTGTACTCTCTCTACCCTTGTCACCTCACTCCTGTTCAGGGGCCCTACTTCCCCACTACCAAAGACTCCGGAACGTACTTTATGTGGGTTGTCAAGCAGCAACATCTGAGATATCACAGCTGGAGGCATCAAAGGACTGAATGCAGGGAGCCTGGAACTGGATGCCGGCTGCAGCTTCACTCTCATTGACTATAGGGGGAAACCCAAGATGTAATTAACTCATCCCTAGCAAGCCACAGCTTCAGTGAGGGTGCCAGACCAACAACAGCTTGATTGCCACACCACACCTCCAAGGCACCCACAGGATCCCACACAGACATTTTCTACCAATGGATGAAGGACACCCCAAAAGCCTTTCCTTCTGCAGGTGAAAATAAATTTGCTGGCTCTGTGACCTTGGGTAAAACACACTTAACTTCTGAGACTAGGTTGGCAATTTGCAAAAAAGTAACAGCAGCTACTGTGTGAGAAGGAGAAAACACATGTCCTCCATGGGGACACGCCCCTTTCCCTGTGACTGTGGTATGGGTTCCTTAGCAGAGGCCGTAATTACCTTACCAAGTGATGAACATATTACAAAATTAGCCAGATACTTCATTCCCCTGGACACATTTTACTGTCCAAGGTATGCAAGTATCATTAACAAGACAATCACATACCTTGGTTGTTAATATGCACTCCTCATATCAGGTGACAGGTTTGTTTGTTTTTAATGTGTATGAGTGTATTAACTGCATGTATATAAGTATACATGTGTAAGTACAACCGTGTCATGCAATGCCTGAGGTCAGAAGAAGCAGTCAGATCCCCTGGAATTGGAGTTACGGGTGGTTGTTAGCTGCCCTGTGGATGCTGAGATTCAAACCCAAGTCTTCTGCAAGAACAGCCAGAGCTCTTAACCACTGAGCCATCTCTTCAGCCCCAATAGTTTTGTTTTTTTTTTAAAGAGATAGGGTGAGACAGGGTCTCAACATATTACCCATGCTAGATCCACACTTCTGATTGGCTAGGATCACAAGAGCATGCCAAAAAGCTTAGATTTTGAGCCTAAGTAATAAAAAAGGCTAAGAGCCATGTAACCCTGGATGCCAGCATTCACTTTCATGCTTTATGGAGACACAAATAGCACAAGGAGGAAGGCATGTATTTCCAGCATTGAGGAGGCAGAGGCAGGTGAATCTCTGTGAGTTTGAGGCCAGCCTGGTCTACATAGTGAGTTCTAGGCCAGCCAGGGCTACATAGTGAGACCCTGTCTCAAAACACCAATAAAAACCCACAAGCAACCAACAACAAAAAAACAGAAAGGAGTTTAAGGAAGAAAGCAGTTCTTAAGGACTCAACTTAAATTCTACCTCTGATAGATCCTAAACCTTAAGTTAAATATTCAGGAATAACCAGTTAGATAAGCCAATAAAATTTCCATTTTATATTATTTTGTCTTCATGAGGACTCTCTTACATGTAACTAATAGTGTCCCAGCATATGTGCTCAGAACTAATAGTCACTACTAGAAGATTCAGTGGAGCTGGCCCATTTGAAGGCTTACCTTTGGCACAGCCACCTGAAACATGATGTCCCAGACAGGCTGGGTGGCAGTGCTCATCATGGTCAACAGCAACACCTGCACCTCAGGGTGCCCAGGGGCCCCAGTCTCGGAGAAGTGGAGCAGAATTCTGAAGCCATTCCGGTCATACACAATGAGAGGTGGCAGGCTGCCTGGCAGACAGGAACCAACAGGAAAAGTCAATTCTCATACTCAAAAGGCGTGTGCATGTGGTTACCAGCACTGCTACTGCCCCATCACCTCACTCGCCCTCTCCTCTGCACCACTGTAATCCAAGTCTTCCCTGGACTCCTTGTCCAAAATGTTCTCTAACCCATCCAACTATATTCTCAGCACACACTGGGCTAAAAAAAAATTTTTTTTTGCTGAGCATGATAGGGCATACCTATTATTCTAGAACTCAGGAAACAGAACTGCACAGGCAGATCTCTGTGACACTGAGGCAAGCCTGGTCTACAAAGTGAGTTCCAGAAAGACCCTGTATCAAAAAAGGGGAACTTTGCCGGGTGTGGTGGTGCATGCCTTTAGTCCCAGCACTTTGGAGGCAGAGGCAGGAGAATCTTTGTGAGTTCAAGACCAATCTGGTCTACATAGTGAGTTCAGGTCAGCTGGGGCTACAGGGAGACCCTGTCTCAAAAAGACAAAAAGGAAAAAAGATTGGGGTGGCACTTTTTCTTTTCACCAAACACATGACTAATGTAATGTAAGAATACTATGGAAAATGCATAGTATCACAAAGAAAAAAAACCTTTATTCTTCCCAGAAACAAGCAGTATAAA